AAGGACACAATAGACCAGATGGATTTAATTGATATTTATAGGACATTCCATCTGAAAACAGCAGATTACACTTTCTTCTCAAGTTCACATGGAACATTCTCCAGGATAGATCATATCTTGGGTCACAAATCAAGCCTCGGTAAATTTAAGAAAATTGAAATCACATCAAGCATCTTTTCCATCCACAGCACTGTAAGATTAGAAATCAGTTACAGGGGAAAAACGTAAGAAACATAAATACATGGAGGCTAAACAATATGTTACTAAATAACCAAGAGACCACTGAAGAAATCAAAGAGGAAGTAAAAAAATACCTAGAGACAAATGACAATGAAAACACGATGATCCAAAACCTATGGGATGCAGCAAAAGCAGTTCTGAGAGCAAAGTTTATAGCAGTGCAATCCTACCTCAAGAAACAAGAGAAATCTCATATAAACATTCTAACCTTACACCTAAAGGAACTAGAGAAAGAAGAACAAACAAAACCCAAAGTTAGTAGAAGGAAAGAAATCATAAAGATCAGAGCAGAAATAAATGAAATAGAAACAAAAAAAAATAGCAAAGATCAATAAAACTACAAGCTGGTTCTTTGAGAAGATAAAATTGATAAACCTTTAGCTACACTCATCAAGAAAAAGAGGCAGAGGACTCAAATCAATAAAATTAGAAATGAAAAAGGAGAAGTTACAATGGACACTGCCGAAATACAAAGCATCCTAAGAGACTGCTACAAGCAACTCTATGCCAATAAAATGGACAACCTGGAAGAAACTGACAAATTCTTAGAAAGGTATAACCTTCCAAGACTGACCCAGGAAGAAACAGAAAATATGAACAGACCAATCACAAGTAATGAAGTTGAAACAGTGATTAAAAATCTTCCAACAAACAAAAGTCCAGGACCAGATGGCTTCACAGGTGAATTCTATCAAACATTTAGAGAAGAGCTAACACCCATCCTTCTCAAACTCTTCCATAAAACTGTAGAGGAAGGAACACTCCCAAACTCATTCTATGAGACCACCATCACCCTGATACCAAACCAGACAATGATACTACAAAAAAAGCAAATTACAGACCAATATCACTGACGAATATAGATGCAAAAATCCTCAAGAAAATACTAGCAGACAGAATCCAACAACACATTAAAAGGATCACACACCATGACCAACTGGGATTTATCCCAGGGATGCAAGGATTCTTCAGTATATGCAAATCAATCAATGTGACACACCATATTAACAAATTGAAGAATAAAAACAATGTGGTCATCTCAATAGACACAGAAAAAGATTTTGACAAAATTCAACACCAATTTATGATAAAAAACTCTCCAGAAAGTAAGCATAGAGGGAACCTACCTCCACATAATAAAGGCCATATATGACAAACCCACAGCAAACATCATTCTCAATGGTGGAAAACTGAAAGCACTTCCTCTCAGATCAGGAAGAAGATAAGGATGTCCACTCTCACCACTATGTTTCAACATAGTTTTGGAAGTCCTAGCCACAGCAATCAGAGAAGAAAAAGAAATAAAAGGAATACAAATTGGAAAAGAAGAAGTGAAACTGTCACTGTTTGCAGATGACATGGTACTATACATTGATAATCCTGAAGATGCTACCAGAAAACTACTAGAGCTAATCAATGAATTTGGTAAAGTTGCAGGATACAGAATTAATACACAGAAATCTTTTGCATTCCTATACACTAACAACGAAAGATCAGAAAGAGAAATTAAGAAAACAATCCCATTCCCCATTGCAACCAAAGGAATAAACTACTTAGGAATAACCCTACCTAAGGAGGTAAAAGACCTGTACTCAGAAAACTATATGACACTAATGAGAGAAATCAAAGATAACACAAACAGCTGGAGAGATATACCATGTTCTTGGATTGGAAGAATCAATATTGTGAAAATGACTGTACTGCCCAAAGCAATCTACAGATTCAGTGCAATCACTATCAAATTACCAATGACATTTTTTACAGAACTAGAACAAAAGATCTTAAAATTTGTATGGAGAACACAGAGGACCCCGAATAGCCAAAGCAGTCTTGAGGGAAAAAAATGGAGCTGGGGGAATCAGACTCCCTGACTTCAGACTATACTACAAAGCTACAGTAATCAAGACAGTATGGTACTGGCACAAAAACGGAAATATAGATCAATGGAACAGGATAGAAAGCCCAGAGATAAACCCATCCACCTGTGGTCAAGTAATCTATGACAAAGGAGGCAAGGATACACAATGGAGAGAAGACAGTGTCTTCAGTAAGTGGTGCTGGGAAAACTGGACAGGTACATGTAAAAGAATGAAACTAGAACACTCCCTAACACCATACACGAAAATAAACTCAAAATGGATTAAAGACCTAAATGTAAGACCAAACACTGTAAAACTCTTAGAAGAAAACAAACGAAGAACACTCTTTACGTAAATCACAGCAAGATCCTTTTCGACCCACCTCCTAGAGTAATGGAAATAAAAACAAAAATAAACAAATGGGACCTAATGAAACTTAAAAGCTTTTGCACAGCAAAGGAAACTATAAACAAGACGAAAAGACAACCCTCAGAATGGGAGATAATGTTTGCCAATGAATCAGCAAAGGGTTAATCTCCAAAATATGTAAACAACTTATGCAGCTCAATATTACAAAAACAACCCAATGAATAAATGGGCCTACGACCTAAAGAGACATTTCTCCAAAGGAGACATACAGATGGCCAAGAGGCACATGAAAAGCTGCTCAACGTCACTAATTAATAGAGAAGTGCCAGTCAAAACTACAGTGAAGTATCACCTCACACTGGCTAGAATGGGCATCATAAGAAAATCTAGAAACAACAAATGCTGGAGTGGGTGTGGAGAAGAGGGAATCCTCTTGCACTGCTGGTGGGAATGTAAATTGATACAGCCACTATGGAGAACAGTATGGAGTTTCCTTAAAAAACAAAAACTAAAATTACCATATGACCCAGCAATCCCACTACTGGGCACATGCCCAGAGAAAACCATAATTCAAAAAGACACATGCACCCCAATGTTCATTGCAGCACTGTTTACAATAGCCAGGTCATAGAAGCAACCCAAATGCCCATTGACAGATGAATGGTTAAAGAAGTGGTACATATATACAATGGAGTATTACTCAACCATAAAAAGGAACGAAATTGGGTCATTTGTAGAGGCGCGGATGGACCTAGGGACTGTCATATAGAGTGAAATAAGAAAGAGAGAAACAAATATCGTATATTAACACATATATGTGGAATCTAGAAAAATGGTACAGATGTGAACTGGTTTGCAAGGCAGAAATAGACACACAGATGTAGAAAACAAACGTATGGACACCAAGGGGGGAAAGTGGCGGTGAGGTGTGGTGAGAAGAATTGGGAAATTGGGATTGACATATATACACTAATATGTATAAAATAGATAACTAATAAGAACCTGCTGTTTAAAACAATAAATAAATAAAATAAACTTTAAAAAATAAAAAAAGAAACCATTAATGTCCTCTGGTTAAAAATAATGAAGGTGTGGTTAGGGTGGTAGTTCAGGTAACCAGAAAGCAAGGTAGAGACATTGCAGAGATACTAATTCAAAAACGTACTGAGCACCACCTGTCTTCCTGGACACAAATTCAGCAGGGCTGCTTAGCATCCTCTTCAAAAGAGGCAACAGGGTCAGATACAGGACGGAACAGGCAGGTACTTGGGGAGCAGAGGAGCGAGGGTCATAAAGGGACACTGGATCTTCCTTTGCTTTCCACTGGAGAAACCTTGGTAACATCAGGATGGAGAAGGGACACCTCGAGTGTCTAGGAGTTTGACCACCCAATGGCACATGTGTCACAGTAGGTGAGAGGTGATATAGGGTCAGTGAATCTTTCCCCGGTGGGTTTGAACACGCTCACTGTCCTTGCTCTCCGTGTGGGTCCACGCTCTCTCTGCTGGGGGGAGAGAGTTACCCAAGAAAAGAAGGCACAAGAGCAGCCTCAAGAAACTCTCCCTTCAGACACCTGACAGATTCCCTTTTCAACCTCCCGCCCCACAACCAAGGGAAGTGAGAAATTGTCTTCACCTAAAGAAAGAATTTCTTACTTTTCTCAAAGTGGATCAACTCCTGCCTCTGTACTTGCTTAGATTTGGAAGTGGAAGGAGTCAAGAAATAGGGTTCAGACCTGATTTGTAAATTCCAAGTCACTTTCCTGGTAATCAGAAATGGATTCGATTTAATTCCACACTCATTTAGTGAATGCAAATATCTTCCAGGAGAAGGAACTGGAGAAAAATACTGAATGTTAATGCAACAAACCTCTCCCCACCTTGCTCTCTCTCACAGTTTAGTGAGAGTGTATGTCAAAAAGTATATGAAATATTACATGCTGAGTCTAAGTTGTGTTCTTAATACTGTTATAAAAATCACAGCACTCTCTCTTTATTTCATATGTGTAACTGGTTTTTTCACTTCTCCATGAATGACATTTTTATGAAGACCGAAATGATGTGTGGGACCTATTGGAAACTTACACTGATAGGAGTTTCTAATAAAATAAATAGCCCCGCTAATAATGATCCCTAATGTTAAAAGTACTTTGTTCATTACTTCAGAAACTTCCTGTAAATTTTGTGGGAAGCAGCTCCCTTTGTATGGCATTTTACATAGACCTTTTACTACTGGGCTGTCCCTTTACTTAGGAGCTTAAATGAAATGAAAATAGGTCAGGCTTGTAGATCTTTTTAAGGTATAAAGGGTTGATGGCAATAGCCATTGAACCAAGAATTGGTAAGATTAGGGAAAGAAATTATAAAAGTGGGTTTTAAATCCTTTTTTTAAAAAATCCCTTTCATATCTATTCATCTCTTGTTCATTCCTTATCCCGTCTATGCTTATTAAGGCAGACTTGTGAAACTGCTTTGTATGCTACTGAGTTTAAATACTCTCTGTATTACAATGTTTGTTTTTTCCTCCCTTTAGGAGATGACCTGGCTTCCACCACTTTCAGCTATTCCAGCACCTGGAAAAGTGGAACCGAGCAAATTTCCATTTCCAAATAAGGTGAGATCCTGCATTGCCCAGGTTGAATAGGCTTTTTACTCACACAGAGATTTTTAGTGGACAGTGGGTTTCCCTTGATTGTCTTTTCCTCTGTAAATATTCCTGCTACAGGCACATGGATCTGATTTTCAACAGTTTGCAAGCATAGGTCTGTTCATTCCAAGGGAAGAAATCAAACTTGCAGTCCTACCTACCTCCACTTCCATACTTCCTGCAAAATATGATGAATACTACAATTATCATGTTATCTAAAAGCACTTGTGAAGTTGAAATGCATCTTACGATCATTTTATACATCCAGTGTGATTGTATGTCTTATTTTTTCCTGAAAAGCTGTTATTAAATTAATGATGTATTTTAAAATCAGTGTCTTAGAATTGAGGACATGAAGTATATAATTTCTCGGTTATCTTTTATAAAGCTGAAAATATTTTCTGGGACTTAAAAAAAATGATTTCCGTATTTTCTAAGAACCAGCATACACAGAATATCAGCTACAAAATATATTTAAATTATACGTGAGTCTAATAAGTTTTGATTTTTATTAACCATCCAACACGTAATTACATATTCATTATAAAGGTGAAATTATGCACATAGAAGAAGCAAAATATGAAAGTTTCTCATGCCCTTGTCCAGATTTTACTTCCCTACCCACAGGTTACTATCAAGAGTTTGGTGTGTACCATTTCAGTCATTTTCCCTGTGTGTTATATACACATATGTGCATATGCAGTTTTTTAAAAATCCTAAATGGTACTAAAAGTACTTTTTCTAAGAGTAGACTTTTTCCCAGATACACACAGTACATAAATATCATTGCTAAATATTAACATCACAATGTTCTAAAGTAAATTATTGAAATAATAATTCATTATTATCCCAATGGTAAATTGCATTCTAAGAGTTGGTTTTTATTTCCCTTAACAAGGCGTATTTAGAGATCTTTCCAAGTGAATATGTAGAGATTTTCTTACTTTTTCTTAACAGCAGCAAAATATCTCATAGTGTGAATTTGCTGTAATTTATTTGCTCAAGCTTCTTTAATGGACATTGAGACTGTTAATGGTTCGCTGTTAACACAAGCACTGTTACAACACACAGTTTTTGTAAGTGCCTCTGTGTGTGCCTCTTATTCAGTGTCTCTTGTCCAGACATCTAGAACAGGAGCTGGGGTGCTGGAGGCATCAGAAGCCTTATTTACCCTTGACTATGTTTCAAGAGTATTTTTTTATGAATCTTTGCCAGTGTTTAATATTATCTGGTTTTTTATCATCGTGTCTGTAGTATGGATGAAAAACTGTTATTTCGTTAATTTGCACTTCTCCAGTAATTTCTGAGTTTGAGCATTGACTGTTTTTCCTTTGCAAATTGCACATTCATGTCCATTGCCACTTTAAAAAAATGATTCGGGGCTTCCCTGGTGGCGCAGTGGTTGAGAGTCCACCTGCCGATGCAGGGGACACAGGTTCGTGCCCCTGTCTGGGAAGATCCCACATGCCGCAGAGCGGCTGGGCCTGTGAGCCATGGCCGCTGAGCCTGCGCATCCGGAGCCTGTGCTCCGCAACGGGAGAGGCCACAGCAGTGAGAGGCCTGTGTACCCCAAAAAAAAAAAAAGATTCATAGGAACTCCTTATATCTTACTCATTTGCCTGTTCTATATGATGCAACTATTTTCTTGCAACCTTACTTATGTACCTTTTATACTAGCAAAGTGTTTAATTTTCATGTCAGAGAAAAAAGATCTTTCCCGGCCCAACATTCTAACAACGTTCTCTATTTTATTGTAATTCTTTTATAATTTTTGTTTTTAGGTTTAAAAATTTTGTTTGCTTGCATTGGTGTGTCATAGGATCCCAGCCTTATTCTCTTCATTGGTTGAGTAGATTATGACAACACTATCAACAAATTAGCCCATCTTCCCCCCACTGGTTTGAAATACCACCTACGCCAACAACCGAAAGTCTCATAAATACACAGTTTTGTTTCAGGACTGTCTATTCTGTTCTTTTGATATATTCATCTCATTCTTTCCCAATAACTCATTGTTTAAGTCAGAGGTCAAATAACTTTTTATTTAAAGGATCAGATAGTAAATGGTTTAGGCTTTGCAGGCAATATCTGAATGAATGAATGTGACTATGTTCAAATAAAACTTTATTTACAGAAACACAATTAGTAAAGAAGTCTTACAACTCAATAATAGAGAACTCGTTTTAAGAATAGGCAAAGGATTTAAATAGACATTTCTCCAAAGGTGATCTACAGATAACTAATAAATATATGAAAAGACACTATTGCTATCATTTAGGAAATGCAGATCAGAACTACCGTGAGATACTCCTTCACACCTACTTAAAGGGCTAAAATCAAAGACAGACAATACCCAGTGTTCACACGAGTGTGGAGAAATTGGAACCCTGATGTCAGTTGCTGGTGGGATCTTAAATGGTGCAGCCTCTTTGAAAAAGTTTCAACATTTCCTCAAAGGTTAAACATTGCATTATTGCATGACCCAGCAATTCCACTCCTAGGTATATCCCCAAGAGAACTGAAAACACACGTCTGCAAAAAATCTTTTACACGCATGTTCACAGCAGCATTGTTCATAACAGCCAAAAAGTGGAAGCAATACAAATGTGCATCAACTGGTGAATAGACAAAAGTGATATATATTTATAATGAAATATTATGCCACATAAAAAGGAATGAAGCATTGATACATGATTCAACATGGATGAACCTTGAAAATATGCTGAGCAAAGGTGAAAGACCAGTCACAAATGACAACATGTCCAGAAGAGGCAAATACAGAGAGACAGAAAATAGATTAGTGGTCGCTTACAGCTTAGGGGTAGGGAGAGAGGGTTGAGTGACAGCTAAAGGATAAAAGCTTTCTTTTTGAAGTGTTGAAAATGTCCCAAAGTCCCTTAATAAGAATGATTCCAATGTGTTATTGTTAAATATAATAATTTCTTATTCTGTGTCCAGCTGAGGGTACTTCCTTCTATTTTTCTAGCTTTCTGAATATTTTAAAGGTTTGAATTTTCTTTCCATTTAAAAAAATTAAGGTATAATTTACAAACAGGCACTTCCCTGGTGGCACAGTGGTTAAGAATCCACGTGCCAATGCAGGGGACATGGGTTCAAGCCCTGGTCTAGGAAGACCCCACATGCCTCGGAGCAACTAAGCCTGTGAGCCACAACTACTGAGCCTGTGCTCTGGGGCCCATGAGCCACAACTGCCAAAGCCCGCATGCCTAGAGCCCGTGCTGAACAATAAGAGAAGCCGCCGCAATGACAAGCCTGCACACCGCAATGAAGAGTAGCCCCCGCTCGCCACAACTAGAGAAAGCCTGCACGCAGCAATCAAGACCCATTGCGGCAAAAAAAAAAAAAAAAAAATAGGTGACTTTACAGAGTGTGGGGACATTACATGATTTTAATAATGCTTTTCTTTCAAAAAGTTCACAATAAGTGCTGGTAATGTATCTTGTATCAGACTTCCCTGGCAGTCCCGTGGCTGAGACTCCGTGCTCCCAATGCAGGGGGCCCAGGTTTGATCCCTGGTCGGGGAACTAGATCCCACATGCTGCAACTAAGAGTTCACAGGCCGCAACTAAAAGATCCCACAACTAAGACCTGGCACAGACAAATAAATAAATAAATATTTTTTAAAAATTTTATCTTGTATCAATGAAATAAGACTTCATTAGTGTCATTCCTGCTCTGACGAATCACCATAAACTTAGTGACTCACGACAACATAAATTTATTATCTTACAACTCTGGAAGACAGAAGTCTGAAATCAGTTTCACGGAGCTAAAATTGAGGTGTGGTCAGGGCTACGTTTCTTCTGAATGTTTTAGGGAAGAATTTGTTCTCTTGTCTTTCTCGGCTTCTAGAGGCTGCCCTGCTTACTTAGCTTGTGGCCCTCATCATGCTGACCTCTGACCTCCTTGTCACATCTTCTCTGACTCTCCTGCCTCCTCCTTTTCCTTATAAGGAAATTTGTGATGATACTGGGCCCACCTGGATAATCCAGGATAATCTCCCATCTCAAAATAGTTAACTGAATCACATCTGCAAAGTCCCTTTTGCCATGAGAGGTAACATATTCACAGGGCCTGGGAATTAAGATACAGACATCTTTGGAGGAGCCCTGACTGTGCCTACTTCAAAGACATCACTAGTTCTCACCCATAGTGCACCTCTTTTAACCTGTGTCTCAACTATTTAGTATTCTGACAGCTGGAGGCTTGCAATTCATTAATTAGGCTACTAATGTTTGAGATGATCACAGTTGCTAGTATGTAGGAGCTAGAATTGTTTACGGAATTTGCAGGGCAGAATCTCCAAAATGACTAATAAATAATGGAATTAAGCCCTTACTGAGATTAAAGGGGCATTTTGACCTCACAAGTAAAGTCGATTTAAATGTGCTTTCTGAGTTACCAGTTCCACTAAATTAATTAGCTACATACTTCCAAGAATTTCCCCAATTTGTCTGGGTATTGAAGGACATAATATATAATAAAGTCAATTGATACTGAACTTGGATGTTTTTTTTCTATTCTCTGGAGGCTTAATTTGGAGTCACAATTCCCTAGACAAACACTATCAGACGTGCCTGCCTCATTCTTCAAATCTCAGAAGTTATTGACTTTGGTAAAGAAAAGAATGCATGCCATTATGAGGTATTTCAACCAAGAAAAAGAAATGAATTTGCTTTGTCCTTTTCCCTCGATTTCTGTAGCAGTCTCCTAAGTTCTGAAATGCAAATAGAGAGCTAAAATTGTAGAACTTTTTCCATACTCAGAAGGCATCTGTGCGGATCTAATGGCATTTCACAAGCATTTCATGTGGCAATGAATGCCACATCTGATGGGATCAGACCTGGTTTGAAACTATTCTTGCTGATCAGTTTCTAAAGCATTAGGCTGAAGAGTTCTAGCATGATTACAGAAATGAGAATCCTATTGCCGTCCTCTTTCTACAGTACAAGGAGAATGAAAGCCAGAAAGTGTGAAGGAAAGTGCTTTGAAGTTGGGAAGTTTATGATATGTCTCCCTCTTTGGGTTCCTAGCATGCTTCAGAAACAGACCACAAAATGCTTGGGCTAAAACTTTATGTTTACTTCATTACCTCAAAGTAAACATTTAAATTTACTGTCATTTACATTATTTCAATTGTTTTGAGCTTTAGAGAAAAGAAAGTGATTGGTGAGGAAGAAGGAAGACCAAACCACATCAAGTGGTGCTTTTTCCTAGAGTAATTAGCTTTATGTGGAGGTCTGAAAATCAAAGAAGATATATTTCCATTTCTTGCCTTTTGTAAGTCTAATGATGTATTGACAGACAAGCAAGAGGAGATAAGGGTACAGCAGTACTCAGATGGTTCCAAAAAGCCATTTTTAAGGAGTGTTCTCACAGGATAAAGACTGCCCTCCATCAGCAACATGGCTTAAGAACAACTATATTTTATCGGTTTAAGCTGCATATTTTTTTCACATTTTAAGATCCCCAAAATCAGGATTTGTTTTACAGCTGATGGCATTTTACAATTAATTGGCAGCCATTTTCTTCCATAGTAATACATGAAGTAATGCAGCCTTATACAGTTTTGTTATGTGTGATGAAATACGGTATTTATTATCGTGCTTCCTTGAATGGCTTTCTCGGCTGCCAGTGAACTTGGTTATTTCTGCCTTCAGTACAGTGATTTGTAAAACTTTACTTCCCAGCTAAATATCACCTTTGAAGAAGTTTTGGGATTCCTGTGTACCCAACAATAGTTTAGGTGTTGGGAATGCAGGATTTAAAAAAAGAGAACAAGTTTCCAACTGCAGATATTCTTCTAAATAACTAAGAAGTGGTTCTCCTCTTTGTGCACGTGACCGTCAGAATGACACACACTTGCTGAGTGAATGTGGGAAATTAAAAGCAGTAGAGAAGGGCTTCCCTGGTGGTGCAGTGGTTAAGAGTCCGCCTACCAACGCAGGGGACGCGGGTTCGTGCCCCGGTCTGGGAAGATCCCACATGCCGCGGAGCGGCTGGGCCCGTGAGCCATGGCCGCTGAGCCTGCGCGTCCGGAGCCTGTGCTCCGCAGCGGG